TCGTTATTGTGTCGTGATGCCCTATATCGGGCTTGTCCCGCTAGATTATTACTAGCGCATGGAGTAAGTACTTATAATTTTAGCTCAGTTTCAGACTAAGTTTGTAACATTAGTTATCTTGTATGATGGTTAGCATACACGGAAATCAGAATCTGGGTTTTAGGTTTAATGATTAATTTCAACGTAGTAATTTCTAGTGTCGAACCTGACTTATATTTCGCTAATTGACCTATAACTAAGTACTGTAATCAAATTGGTGGTTATATAACAGACGAAGCAGAATTCTGTAGCTGAACAACGTGTCGATTTGTTTTGTCACGTTACGTCTTGCTGACGGTGCATGTTTTAAATCCATTTTTGACACAAGCAGGCAAACATTTCCAAAGATTTATATAACTCGAGACAAGATCCTTATTGAAGCGTATTTAGTTATCAAATCAGTGACTATCTTCTGGCACAACAAGCGTTTCTCCAAATTGCTAACAGAAAAATTACGAGGACCTTGGTGCGCAGCAATATTAAGCAAGCTTGTAAGGTAGGCTATTACTACTGTTGTACCTGACTAAACTTAATGTGTTATATATATATATATATATATATATATATATATGTGTGTGTGTGTGTGTGAGTGAGAGAGATTAGACACGCACAAAGTTCAACCACAGAGTGATAGTGAAATTGTCTCTAAATACGGAAAGGGTTCAATTATTTATAGAGTTGCAACGAAATATGTTTGAATCTCGAGTGCGGAAAGTCATTTTAAATACGAAGGTTAAACGGAAACTATTGATCGGATAGACAAAAACCAAAATCAAAAATTCATTTGCATCCTTGTAAAATTCGCATGTAATATCTATAAATGAAGTTGTGTAAGTCTGAATGCATTAGAGAGTTAGTTGGTTGAATAGACACGAAAGAAAGTTATGTACATCAGACGGATAGGTTTTTTCCCCAATTTCATTTGAAAAAAAAAAAAAAAAAAAAAAAAAAAAATTGGACTTCAATTATAAAAAGGCATGGCTTATTTTCCTAACAGTCTGTGTATACAAGAACTGGCGGCAAACAACATCGCTTCCACTTTGCTAGACCCAGGAAATTTTAGCATAAATAGAAAACTAAAATAAACATCTATGACAACAACGCGTTCAATATTAGAGAGAGCCGCCATTTTTGTGAAGTAATAAGTTTTAGAAATTGTAGTATTGCAAAATAAATTCTTAATCATTGTGGCTCAAGTATGTAAGTCGGCACACCGGGAGGAATACACAAAGCTTCAAATAATTACCTATACTCTGACATCAGGAAATTAGCACTTTCTATTCATCAATATCCACCAACCTAACACCAGCTGTCTCCCTGCTTACGTCTGGATTGCATTTACTTCCATCCGTTAACACCGGTTACACCTACTGCATTTCGTTTATACATACAGGAGTATCCATCTATTCTTCTTTCTAGATTACATTTGTTGTTGATGGTGATAATTTTTATCTTAATAGAAAATCAACTCCATATGGGCCGTTTCATACAGAAACTTAATTTTCTTGGGAGATATGTTATTCTGCTTTCATATTTGAATACATGGTAGATGATACTCAGCTTTTTTTGTATATACATATTTGTGGACATAATTATTAGAGGCGGTGATGAGTGTGTCTTATGTTGTTTTGTTGAAATTATATTTTGGAATATAGTTTGATTTTAAGAAATTGTAGGATATTATAAGGATTAATGTCACGAAAGAATTCTTTCATGTTGGTTGTTTGGTTGATTTTGTTTAGTGGCATATCAACCTCTGTGAGTTATGTAATGTTGGAATCTGAATGATTGCATGCCTTCAACTGCAGATAAAATGTATTGTTAGTCATTTTGCTATAAAACGTATTGTTGGTAATTCTACTATAAAATGTATAACTGGTAATTTTACTATAAAAATATATTTATATTTTCATAATATTTGGGGGTTCATTATTTACCCATAGCTGGGACCCTAAAAGATGCTACCACTCCAGGGCAAGGAGGACCAGGAGGCAAGAGCAATTAAGAGGAAAAGGGTTGTTCACTCTTCAAAACCTCCAATCTCCTGATCAGAGGCCTTGTTGCCGGATGTCGTTTATTGTCAAACCCAGGAAGTTTGGTATTGTAATGAAGGTGGTTTTGATAATGCCACTTGTAGTGGTGGTGTGGGTGGTTGTGTTGCTAGTGTTGATGATGGTAATGTTTCAGGTCTTCTGATCAAAACTGTTTGGTATATTAAAATGGGCTACAATAAAGGTTACGTTCAGTGACACAAAATATCAACAATTTGAACGCATTAATAGAACATATGCCCCGTAGATAATGTGAGAAAACTACATAGGTACAAATATTTATCAAATCGACGTGAAGAAGCCATGTAAGATTTAAGTGCCTTTTTCCTTTGCACATTTTACTTTTATTTTGCTGAATTTCCACTTCAGCGTTAATTGGGTATTTACCCAAATTATTTTCATTTATATACCTGTTAAACAGAAATAAATTTTCACTGTTATACTCTAAAAGGGCCCACGTTTTCGCCTAATCTCACCACTTGACCAAGAGAAGCCCAGGAAACTATCAAGTAACACTTAGCAGCTGATATTCCAGCCTCCCCGGAAATTAATTTCTGTGGAAAATCTTTTCACAAGTACTAAAAGATAAAGAAATAAAAATTCACAATGAAACAAATGTAAGACATTAAAAAGTTAGCTCCTGGCAAGCTGATAAGTTGCTGAGACCTCTCCCCATCTCCGTTATGGTCCAATTATGTTGCCATTTACTCCAGATTTGCAGCAACTATAGTGAGACAGCTATGGTAGTTTAATCTATTAACAGAAATAAATACATTTTCAATCCTCAAAGTTGTACGTACCTGTTGCGAAAAAGTTAAATCATTTCCATTATCTCAACGTACACGCAAGTTAATCCAGATAACATATTTCTTTTATATGAAACACATTAACAATCTTTTGGGAATAGGAGAGATTCCAGAAACAGTGGAAACAATTTGAAGTCAGGAACAAGATAACCAATTTAAGCATCATTCGACAGATCGGTAAGAGTAAAAGTCTCAGTTGATGGCACTAGATAAATAAGAAAAATAATTAAAAAAATTTCGTGCTACGCTGATTAAGAGCAAAGCATTTAAACTAATTAATGAGCGGTATGAATGAATGAATAATCAAATCTCGGTTAGCGACACCAGAAGGTAATGCAGTTGAGGAATAGCTGGGGTTTGGATTAAAAAAAGGAAAATATGCGACTCGTCCCTTTTCAGTAGACACACACCTTTTCTTTCTTTATCGTTGATGCCTTCAGATCTGGATATAAATGCATATCAAATCCAATCAGTGTAATACTACATGGTGTTACAGTTATTTTCCTTTGGCTATTTTGTACGGCCACACACACTTGATTAGCTGTGGATGATCCTTCTTCATATAGAATACCAGTGTAAACAGATTTATAACAAGCTGCTTATCTTCCGGCTATTATGTAACTAAAGTACATAACGTGTAACCTGGTACACCTATATAAATTGTCCATTTTCCATCGGTATTTACTTTTAGGGGACGCCTATGACACCAGGGATTGAATCTAACAAGCCTACCCTTAAGTGCAATGAAGATACAACCTAGTGCAGACGGCTCAGTAGAACAGGAATTCGGATACTTTCCACTTTGGAGCCTAAAGAGCTTAACAAGGATACAAATATAGAGGCACCTAGACGATTGAAATCATAAGTAATAGTGGAGCAGATTAACACAGTAACTATTACTCCACACAGAGGTGCCCCAAATAGGTTTATAACAAGTCGGCAGAGACATCGATTCTACAAAGCAAAGATTTTTTTTTAAGCAAATGTCGATACAGAAATGCCGACAATGACTAACACGGGCAGATACTCATGTTCTTGTAAAAGCTTCCACAAATTTTCAAAGTCCATTGATCTACTTATTCACTAAGTGAACGTTTACATTGGGGTGGGGGTTGGGGGGTAAGGGGATAGAACAAAGTGAAAACGAAAGCTTAGGTCAGTATTTCCTATATTTAGTAAGCTTAATCGGTTCGTGGGGAGGAAATAAAGGTATAAAGATTGTGTTGCGCCAAATTAAAGAAGAGAAAGTGTGCGCTAGGTAACATTTAATGTCAGCATTCGCAATATGGGTTCCACTATTGAGTTTGCAGACTCTTAAGCAGCTAACCCATCAAGAAGGCTTACTTAGCTAGTTTTGGATACACCGACACGTTTATGTTGGTAATATCTAAGTCATACTCTCGGACTTCACAGCGGTTTCGACTTAAAGGCACATTGCAACTCAGTGTGATTTCTCATCTTCAGCATAGATATTTGTTTTCGAGCATGCTCATCTGCTTAGGTTTATTTGTCAATTCATGATCCATAAAGCCAACCTGTGATTTATATTGCAACTAAGATGAGCATTCCCTGATTACAGTTCAAGGATTGCCCCCCCCCCTTACCGACGAGGGCAACATACGGTCTTGAATTTAGTTTTGTCATTTTATTATTAGTAAGTGAGGGAGCAGAAATGGATTTATACAAGGTTACTTGTCCGGAAGTAACTGAAAGGATCTCGACTGGAATGTTTCGCGTCTCTAAACATTGCAACAACAGCACATGTACGCTATCAAGCGATACAGAAGTGAGAATTCTTTGTAAATTTCTTCATGGCTGACGTTGTTAAATATCTTCTACCAGTGCAGAGGGTCAGTGTTAGAGACGAAATGAAAACTTCAGTTAAAACTTAAACAAGTTCTCGTCACTTGAACACAAAGAGTAATACAATCTTCCTGTCCAGTTTCATTCAATTGATGTGCTAAGCATAGTAAATATCAAGAATAAAAGGGCTTTAAATTAGGATAGAGAGATTGACAATAATAAAGGTTATGTGAAGAGGAAGCAAAATAAATAAAAAAAAAAAAGTAAAGGAAGCTTAAAAAAAAAGTGAAGAGGAAGCAAATTAAAAAAAGGAAGAGGAAGAAAATAAATGAAGAGGAAGCAAAATAAATAAAAAAAAAGAGTTAATAAAAAAAAAGTGAAGAGGAAGCAAAATAAATAAAAAAAAAAGTGAAGAGGAAGCAAAATAAATAAAAAAAAAAGTGAAGAGGAAGCAAAATAAATAAAAAAAAAGAGAAGAAAATAAAATAAATAAAAAAAAGAAGAGGAAGCAAAATAAATAAAAAAAAAGTGAAGAGGAAGCAAAATAAATAAAAAAAAAGTGAAGAGGAAGCAAAATAAATAAAAAAAAGTGAAGAGGAAGCAAAATAAATAAAAAAAAGTGAAGAGGAAGGAAAAAGAAAAAAGTGAAGAGGAAGGAAAAAGAAAAAAGTGAAGAGGAAGGAAAAAGAAAAAAGTGAAGAGGAAGGAAAAAGAAAAAAGTGAAGGAAAAAGAAAAAAGAAGAGGAAGGAAAAAAAAAAGTGAAGAAAGAGAAAAAAGTGAAGGAAAATCGAAAAAAAGAAACTAAAAAATCGAAAAAAAAGACTAAAAAAGCAAAATAAAGATAAACAGAATAAAAAAAAGGAAATTGAATAAAGGGTAATGTTCAATGACGTTGAAAATACAAGTGAACGCATTGTAGGGCAAGTTAAGCGAATTACCAGCCGAATAAAAAAAAGAGATAAAATTAAACGGTAAGTGAATAATGTATAAAAAGTAAAAAGGTATAAAGAAAGAAAAAGGTATAAAGAAAGAAAAATATAGGAGGTAAAAGTTGAATGAAGAATCACCAAAAATTAAAGCCAATAAATTTTGGACTAAAAGAGAAAGAAATATAGTAAAGATTAGTAATAGGCAGAGGATGGGGAAGCGGCGGCAAAAAAAAAAAAAAAAAAAAAAAAAAAAAAAAAGGGAGGTGGAGTATGAAATAAGGAGGCGGGGAAAGAAGTCACCGATAACAGAGCAAGGAAAGAGGAAAAAAAAAAAAAAAAAAAAAAAAAAAAAAAAAAAAAATGAATGGAGAACAAGGAAAGCGGAGAGTGTGACGCAGCGAAAGAAAAAAAAAAGTTGAGGTACAAAGAAAGATGGGAGAAGCAAAAAGAAAGACTAAAGTGACAACGAAAAAAAATGAAGTAGAAAAAAAAAAAAAGTAAAGGTCACCGGTAAAAAAGGATGAGAAAAGAGGGGAGCAAAATGAAAGACGATTACAAGGAAGGTTGGCAGAGACGATAGGTAAAAAAAGAAAATAAACGTGGCGGACAACGAAGGATTAAGGCGGGAGGAGGCAAAAAGAGAAGGGAAAAAAAGGCGAGAGCAAAAGATTACTCGAGAGGATGAAGAAACTGGAAAATAAATAATTTCACGAGATAAATCACTACAAAGAAAAAAAAAAATCAATAAATAATAAAATAAAAGCACAAATGAAAACAAAAGTCAAAATAAAGCAAAATTTAAGGAAGAAATAAATATCTGAAAAACTCATTTGTCAAACTTACAAAAAAGGAATCAACAACACCAATGTGAACAAGAAAATAAAAAGAATCGAGAATGAACCTCAGAGGAAAATGAAACGAAGCAATGAAGTCCTAGGAAAGTTAATATATATATATATATATATATATATATATATATATATATATATATATATATATATATATATGTGTGTGTGTGTGTGTCAAATAGAAAGGAAAAAAAAACAGACGCAAGGGAAATGTTAACCAAAAGCCCTTGCAGCAAGGGAGGAGGTGTTTCAGTCACTCCATCCTTTCCAAACATCCACAGGCGTGTCCATCGAAAATTTCACCCTTGTACAGCTTTTCTTCCTTCAGAGAAAAGGCCAGTTTATGGCGACAGTTAGCGTGCGAATCGATCAATGCGGGGAGAAAAGGCGACATCTGAAGATGGGCTGTCGTCGTATTGACTAACGAAGAGAACTTCTATCATCAATCTACTTAAACGAAATGGCAATCACTTGTAACTATGGCTTAGTGGTAAACGCAACGGAGTTGGGAATACAAGCTGGATCAAAGGCATCTATTACTAAAAGCTCAATTAAAAAGGAAAACTCATTTGTTATCTAAAAGAATATTCAATGTAGAGACATTGTGTTTTTTCAAATTAAGTCCCATGATTTTTCAGGTTTTTACAGCTATTTTTTAATATCTGTAAAGTGTGATTATTTACATTATTGACAGATATTCACGACGTTTCGGACGGTGTATGCGCCGACCTTCTTTAGGTGATCGAAATTTCGAATCGAACCCTTTATTTAGTCCACCGGGGTAGATTGTTCTCGTTCCATGTGTCATGCCTCTTCCAGATTTCTCAGTATCAGTTACTTCAACCAACGATTTTATCCACAGATTCATGTGTTCTCACGATCACGTGGGCCATTGGATAAAAGACTGAAGTCATCCACTGACTTGAAATAGTCGTGCGTTCAATAGCCGACTACAGCAGAGGTGAACAAAAACTTTGAAAATTGAGTTAAGTCACTGGAACTAGAACAATCTACCTTGGTGGACGAAATAAAAGGTTTCGGTTAGAAATTTCAATCACTTGAAGGCCGGAGCGTACAGCAGCCAAAAATCGTGTATATGATAACAGAAATGAGGACAACAGTTCGAACAATGTAAATAATTACAATACCTCATCTTAGAAATATCGACAGATACTGTAAAGTTTAGTTTACAATTATTATAGAAGTTCCGTCTTCTTGCTATTTAACCAGCATATCTAAAACATAGATGTTTTCATGTCTTTTCAACGACGTTAGTTTAAAATGAACAGGTAGAACTTCGAACTCTGTTAGGTTTTAGAACTTCATGAACTACCTTCATGAAGTTCTGTTTTGGATTTATTTAGCTGTCAAAAAAAAAAAAAAAAAAAAAAAAGCTGCTATCTGCGAATGCGGGACAAGTTTCATCGACCACGATGTATTACCATTGAATGATGGAAATACCATGTACGGACCTTGTAATAAATCAATGCTTTATAGAGTATAGAAAGTACAAAGAAACTTTATAACAACCAGAAAAATACACACACACACAAACGAAATTGGGACAAACACTGAAGGAAGGTTTGGGTGGGGAACCGAAGGGAAGATGAGCAGAAGAAAGCCATGGGTAACCTATTCTCTTGCCGTTGACCTCAAGTAGTAGTATTAGATAATTATGAAGTGTTGACGTGTTTATAATTTTATATCCTTTTAGACATCCGTAGAAGAGAATATTATTTTTAGTTATCATCTACCACCTTTACAAAGTTTGATATTCTTAATTATATAAAGATGAAAAAAAGAAATCGGAAGAATTGTCAGATTCACTATCCATTCTCATCTTTTCTAAGATAAATGAGATATACGGATTTAACGTTGACTTTTGTATATGAAATTAATCCTGATAGATACATAGCCACATTTCCTGTCTTTATTTTTTATAATAACTGATCAATTAACCGTTTTTTTCAAGGGGATTATAAAGTCTTTCAGAGATCGCAAAATCAATCATGTTCTCTCAAAATATTTTGCTTCTTTAGATTATTTACTTGATATACGACATTTAAATGATTTATTTACTTCCAGTACTATCGTCAATAAACAAAGTTGGAGGACATTATTCTTATTGGTCATCGTTTGAATTTGAATCCCATTAATATTACTACTTTTTATTTAACATCGCCATGTCTGGAGAGCCGATGATAATTGTTAACAATGTAGAAATATTATATCAGAGTTTTGGCTCAAGTGGTAGTAGAGTGGGGACAGAATTAGAAGAGAAAAAAAAAAAAAAAAAAAAAAAAAAATAAATAAATACGAGTACATAATCTGAATTCATTTCAGTTAACTCAAACATTGTTATGAGGAGGAGGAAAACCATTTCACATGAATAGAACAAACAAACAAAAAAAAAAAAAAAAAAAAAAAAAAAAAAAAAAGAAAAAAGACAATTCCAAACGATTAGTCATTTGTTTTTATTTTTAATTCACCTCAAGCAAGGCGATAATGCCACTAAAATGCAAGGGTTATTGAGAGTCAAAGAAAAAACTTCAGAAGGAACCATAAAACCAATATTAAGTCAGGAAACAAGAGATACACCTCGACACTTGTTCAAAAGACCGGGGAGGAGTATGAACCGGACAATAGACGAACCTATCTACTATTATTGATTTTGTACTTATATTTGCGATATAACTATACATTCCATTCTAAATCGGAAAAACCAGAAGTAGAAAAGCCTTTTAGCACTATTTGTCGGTTTCATCATTTTCATGTTATTTTCTCAGCTTAGTCTACTCGTTCATAAATGTCCATTTCTGATTATTCACTTCTATATGTGCAATCTCAATCTATCTCTCAAGCTCTCTCCGGGTATTATGAAAATGCCCACCGAATAGGTTATACTATCATATTAAAGTGTATTAAATAAATAAAACAAATAATGTCCACGAACAACTGGCTTAATATCCGGTATAGACAGTGCCACAATCAACCAAATGACGAAGTACTTCTCGTTTGCCTGCAATTGCTATAGTAATCCCTTGAAACGATATGTATCAAATGTAGGTAACATCCGCTTCCGGTTGTATGGCATAATTGATAAAAAGCGAATCTTCTCATGAATCTAAAAAGGAAAGGCTTGAGAAGATAGTAATTAATATATTCAAAGTAGAGACTTTTTGATAGCGAATATATATATATATATATATATATATAAATAAAGGAAATCTTGGAGACGTGGGAAGGAAAGAGAACTAGATAAAGTTAAAAAAGTGGGGAGAGAAAAATCTGCATCACATGAAGGAGAGAGAGTCAGAGACAGACAAAGCAGAAAGACAGACAAGGCAGAGAGAGAAAAAATGCAGAGGGAGAAAGAGAGAGATAGTGATAGTGATATTAAACAGAAGCTTTTTCTGCTCATTTTCAACCAGATCCGTTCATATTCTCGGATGATCTTTCTGGTGTCGTTATTTGTATCTTTCTCTGTAGTGGTTTGGGTAGTATTTGTGAAAAGTTTTTACTTATGTCACGCCTATCCTTAACTGTTTCAGCCTTGAGTAAGTCCGTAAATTTTGGTGTGATTATTAGAAGTTGTTCACCCTGAAGCCTCTCAATGCTTTGATATAGCGTCACGATTTCAAGTTTTTTTTTTTTTTTTTTTAAATAGCCCGTTGTACTTATGGTATATATGGCAACTACTGGGTCCCAGGTTAAGCAGTTTTTTTTTTGTTTTTTGTTTTTTTTATTCAGAGTTAGTTCGTAGTTGGAAATATTAATAAATCTATCCATTTTATTAGGAAGAGCGATAGACTTTTAAAAGGAGGTTCATTTTTTTTTTTTTAAGTTTTAACCGGTGTTGACTTTCGGATTTGTGGGTAATTTCAGCGAGACGATGTGTAATTAATTTCTTCCAGTTGGTCATGGATAGATGCATGTTTTAGTTTATATATATATATATATATATATATATATATATATATATATATATATATATATATATATATATATATATATAAAGGTTGGTCGATTTTGAAACTGTAAAAAGAATAACTCGAGGAAAGTTGCAAAATAACGTCAAAAATTACCACCAAAAATATTTTTCTTCAAAACTTCGTATTTATTTGAGCAATCGAACTTAAAAGACAAAATAAATTGCGATTTTTATCATCCTAACGGTGTCCCCGGAGACATGTGTATGTTAAATTAAAACCGACGCTTTAACGAAAAGAAAAAAAAAAAAAAAAGAAGAAAGAAAATGACGCTTAATAATGGATATTTTTGAGTTTATTATCTATTCTCTTATTAAATTAAATGAAATTACTACAAATAAAAAATAAAACACACTAAAATATTTACTTTAAAATACAAATAACTACTTATGAAAGACTTCGTTTTTACTGGATATTTTTTCGGTATTCACCGGTAGTAATTACCTCCTCTTGTATGTTCGTTTTATTTTTGTTTATGCTTTTAACTAGCACAAATATCTATTTTAGTTTTCATCAAAATATACTTAACTGTTTAAAAAAAATAAAACTTATAATTATTGTAATTTGTTTATATTTTGAAGATTAATGTTTTATTAAAAATCCTGTTTACAAGCTAATCCCGGAATTAACTCTACTTTTATGTAAATAAACATTACTTTTATGTAAATAAACATTACTTTTCCAATGCATTTCAAACTTCATGTTCCAGTTTATTTTGAAAAATATTTTTGTATAATTTCTGATAATACATATATTTTCTTTGCCAGATATTTTAATAAAAATGGCAGGAAAAAAGCATCCCAAAGGGCCTAGCATACCGGGAAATTTTGATAAGGCTATATAGCGGCGAGCCTTATCAAAATTCCACGGTATGCTCTAGAGTTGATCATGGGTGATGTATCTTACAATCTTGGAGCCAGCCTTGCAAATGCATTGCTCTTGGATTTGAGGGCTATGGGCTTTCTTATCCCCCAGTATTAATATAAAAAGATATTTATATAGATAAATATAAAATTGATAGAGTAAATGTTAAAGTGAAAACAAATGTCCATCAACAGCATGGTTGCTCCTTGCACCAAAATAAACTTCCGTTTAGAGGTCTTTTTAAACATGTAGATGGTACCACAAAAAGCCCTGCCACATTCAATGGTCCACTTGGAAGATTACGTGCAAATGATTAACAAAATTTACCCCAAATATCATTTTCAGCTGTTGGCAGTCCTCTGGATTCTTTTCTTTTTTTTAAATTGAAAATGCAGATAGCCTTAGTTGTGACCAAAGACTCCTTTTTGAATATACAGTGGGTATTTCTAGAGGTAAGGTGGATTCTAGATTTGCATCATGGGAAATTGGTCCATTAAACCAGGCAAGGTGGTTAACTTTAGGCATTAGTGATGTGCTTATG